CTTCCTTGTGTGACCTCTGTCTCTCTTCACAGGGGTGAGCAGTCAGCAGAAGGTGCAGCAGACCCCGGAGTCCCTCAGTGTCCCAGAGGGAGCCATGGCCTCTCTCAACTGCACATTCAGTGATAGTACTTCTGATTATTTCTGGTGGTACAGACAGCATTCTGGGAAAAGCCCCAAGTTGCTTGTGTCCATCATCTCCAATGGTGCAAAGGAGGAAGGCAGATTCACAGTTCACCTCAACAAAGCCAGTCGGCATGTTTCCCTGTACATCAGAGACTCGCAGCCCAGTGACTCGGCTGTCTACCTTTGTGCAGTGAGAACACAGTGGTCCCCAGGCACCTGCAGCCTGCACAAAAACCTTTTGGGCCCTGACAAGGCCTGAACCAGAGCACCTAGAAAACGCTATTTAAAAAGTATTTACTTAATGAAAATGAACACATAGTGTGTTGTAGACTATTATTTCAAGGTATGCTACTTTTTTATGGTCTGGAATGTTTGTTTAATGGTGTAAAGATGTGTTTGATTGGATAAAATTCATCTGCAACCAGGAGGCTGAATCAGCAATGAGCTGACAGGATGTGGTAAGGAGGAGCCAGATGAAAAAGGGATTATAAGTAGGGGCGAGGAGAAGCATGAGGACTTTTTGGAGCACTCTAGCAGGTAGAAGAGGTGAGCTACTTGCTATTCAACCTCTCTGAAGAGCAGAATGCCACCTTAACCTTTGAATCTTGAGTTCTTTAGAGGGAGAGAGGTTTAGTTAAGTTCCCTTCATAGCTTTTCAAGAATTGGAACCAGAGTGGACTGTAGCGTGAATCTTAAAAGTCCTTACTAATAAAATAAAACCCAGAGCCAGGTATTGGGGTGAATGCTTGAAGATCAGAGAAGCAGAACAAGCCACAGCTTCCTCACCTTGCCAATTCCTCAGCTGATCCTTTTTCCTCAGACTGGAAGCCTCTGAGTCCTCATCCAGAATGAATCTCAGCTGAACTGTGCTGCTCACAAAAGCCTAAAAGCTTAACCGGCCAAAAGCTTCTATTCCTGGTCCTCACACCTTATATACTTTTCTGCTTTCTGCCATTATTCTCTGGGATTAAAGGCGTGAGTCACCATGCTTGGCTGTGTCCTTGAACACACAGAGATCCAAACCAAAAAAGCAAAACACAAACTCTGCATTTCTGGGATCCATATAAAACTCTGTCCTCATTCATGAAGACATGAAAAGAACTTTTACCTCTTAATCTGTTCTAGGACAAGGTAGAGATTGAAACAGCTTTGCAATTTCTTCTGAATCAGCTCTGGACCCACAACTATCTCACACCATGTTCAAGTAGCAAAATGAGATGGCAAACACCAGATGACAGATGGCAAGATGGCGATGCTTCTGTCCCTTAAGACTTGATTTTAAGCCATGCCTCCTCCGTGTGTGTGTGTGTGTGTGTGTGTGTGTGTGTGTGTGTGTGTGTGTGTGTGTGTGTGTGTGTTTGTAGACTGAGCTTTCCTCTGACTGGTTAGGTTAAAACCAGGGCTCTGGGAAATAGACTAAACACACACTCAATTGGGGGAACTAACTTTTCTCTCTTAGAACCTAGTTCCAAATCAGAGTCCAGAGCTGCATCCCCTGTGAAAAAAGGGAGACTGAGTAAACTCTGGGAGTTCTGGTGGCTTTATGCCTACAACTAGCTTGTGAGTTCAATCTATTGGTAATGGGAACAGGGACATCTAAGTTCAGGGGCTGCATCATTGACAAGGCCAGGTGTTCTTGATAATTTGAACATGCATTTGGAAAGTATAAATGCTGACTTCTGATCTCTAGCTTGTGTCTCTGTCTAGAGGTGAACAGCCTAGAAGCAAAGAGATTCCTCAGGCCCTAAGCATCTAAGAAGCTGAAAATTGCCACTTTGTTCAAATGATGATATACTTTGCCCATATATACACTTTTCAGTTTTATGACTTTCCTCTCTTTAATTATTGTTTCCAGTGACCATTACTATTAGTGTCTTATTCAGAAAGCCTTTTCCTATACCAATGAGTTCAAGATTATTTCACATTTCTCTTCTATTAAATTCAGAGTATTTGGACCTATTTTCTGGTCTTTGGGCCATTTGGACTTGAGTTTTGTACAGGGTGATAAATCTACTTCTCCATGTATTCTTTTACATGTAGCCATTCAGTTTGAACAGCATCATTTGTTAAATATGCTGTCTTTTTTTCCTGGTATGTATATCTGGCTTCTTTATCAAATGAGACATTCATAGATATGTGGATTTATATCTGGGTCTTCACTTCTTTTCCATCCATCAGCGTGTCTGGTGTTTATGTTGACACCATACTGTTTTTCTGATTACCACTCTGCAATACAATTAAAATCTGGGGTGGTGATACTTCATGAAGTTCTTTTATTTTTCATGATTATTTTAGCTATCCTGAGTGTTGTGTTTCATTATGAAGCAGAAAAATTAGTTGATTTCTATTTCCCTGGAGAACTGTGTTGGAATTTTGTCAGAGATTGCACTGAATCTGTCACTATTGGTAGGATGACTGCTTTCACTATATTAATCCTACCAATCCATGAGCAGGGGAGATGCTTTCATCATCTGATTCCTTCTGTTTCTTTCTTCTGTGTTTTAAAATTGTTGATATGCTAGTTTCTCACCTGCATGATTAGTTTATCCAGGATATTTTATTATGTTTGAGGACATTGTGACATGTGTTGTTTCCCTCATTTCTGTCTGTTGTTTTTAGATTTCAGTTTTTTGTTTTGTTTGTATGTTTTCTATTTTTGTTTTGTTTTGTTTTAACGTGGGGCATCCATTTCTTTTACCTTGTGGGCAGTGCCTAGATTCCTTCTTCTGTGTCTTCTGCTACATTGGTAAATCTTAGGTCTGAGTCTTTGGTTTGACTTCCTAAATTTTTATTTCCCAGTTTTATCTCAGTTTGTATTTTCTTTAGTAATTCTATTTCTACTTGCAGGTCTTAAACTGTTTACTTCATTTTATTCCACTGTTTGTTTATGTTTTCACAGACTTCATTAAGGGATTTATTCATATTCTCTTTTAGATCCTTGGAAAAAATTTATAATATCTATTTTTTTATGTCCCTTTTCCTTGGTACAGCTATATTGCATTTTCAGGATCTGTTCTAAGTATGGGTACTGGGTTCTGGTGGAGACATGTTGTCTTGGTTATTACTGAGTGCTATGTGCACATGTCTAGAGTTGGGATAATTGTATTTTTATGTTTTAATAACTGGTATTTTTTTTGTTCAGTGGATGTTTTATTCCTTGGTTTCTGGTGAACTCTGTGGATCTTAGTAAAGCATGGTTGTTATTGCCTTGTAGGGAGTACTTCTATGGGCCAATGTTTGACAGAAAGGCATAGATGTAGACTAGGAGAAAAGCTGAGAGGCTTCATTAACAAGCTAAGGTGATGCTGTTCACACCTGGAGGTGGGATCCATAAGAAGTTGGGCATGTGGTGCGAAGAGAGTATCCTGAAATAGGTTGCAGTAAGGCAAAGAATTATGTGGAGAGATGGGGATGGAAGGGGTGGGACCCTGGGTCTGACCCAAGAGTTGTAGTGTCCAGTGAATGAAGTTGAGGAAGGGACCTGTGAGCAGGTTGTTACCAGGCTGAGGATGAGAATGGAGAGATTGTAATGGAGGACAGGAAGGATAGTGTGAATAACCTACCTGAGTTCCTTCCAGTGTGGGTACTGGGCTGGAAACTGCTTTTATATGTCGGACGGTGAGAGGAAGGTAAGGGGGTGGACTGGAGGGGATGCTGACATAGTCCAGAGGAAGGAGGGAAGCTGAGGCCTCTGCAGGGTTTGGTGGAGTCCCTGGGGGATGGAAGCAGAGAGCAAGGACAGGACCTACAAGTGGTCTGCTACAGTGCTGGGAATGGTACCAGGGGAACTGAAACAGAGGACAGGAATGTCAGTAATTCTGGCCCATCTGCTTCCCAACCCTGTGTGTACACTGGGTTCCCAGATAGACAGTTTATAGCTGTTCACAGCTGACACAAAGGAAACGCAATGGACTAGAAGCAGGGGATGCTGGGAGGGTCCACAGGCAGGAGGAAAGATTGGTTTATTGCAAGGTTTGGCAGATTCTCCAGGGAATCCACGACTGCTTTTTCATCAGTAATTCAATCCAGATGCTGTGGGAGTGAGTGAGTGAAATAGATGGTACCATCCTCAAGACCAAATGACTTCTGAGAATTTTACTAAGAATAGCTAAGCACATTTGTGGTTCAAGGCAAACATCTCTGGAAAGGAAGATACATACATAAAAACATATCTGTATTGTCAACAAGAGCTCACTGAAATAGAACATTTTTCTCTTGTAATTCAAACCCATGAGAGACCTAAATTAGCCTTTTCCAGAGTGCCATAACCCCCAAGGATAAATACTCACCTATTTGCCTCTGAGAAAAGGGAGAAATGTTTGGTGAGTGATTCAGAATTCTGAGATATGGAAGTGGATTAGTAAACACAATTCTAGACCAATTAAATGTCGTTACACACACACACACACACACACACACACACACACACACACGAACACATTGAATATGTATATTTATATATGAAAACATAATATATATATATTTATATGTGAAGCATTATACATATGCTATGTTAGATTTAAGTATAAGAAACAGGCTCACTAGTATGTACAAGTACTATTCTTGATCCCTCAGCACATGGACCCCCTTGATATGACATACTGCTGTTTTACATGTCTGAGTCCCTAGCAGGCCTCAGTGATTAAAGGTGCAGCCACAAGGTGGTAGCAGATCTCAGCTGCTGGGCAGTATGCAGAGGATTCACTTCCTTGTGTTGATTATGCAGGCTTAGGGCAGAAGCCCAGCCTTTCTCTCAGTGGCTGAGTGGATGACTCAAGAGCAGAATTGTTACTGAGAAAGAACAACACCCTAGTTGCTATAGCTGACCTGCTAGTCATCCCGATTGTGCCCTGGATCTTAGTTTAATTGGAAGAACAATGAAGACTTTTGTTCCTACTTTATTCATGTATCTGTGGTTGAAGTTGGATGGTGAGTTAATATTTTTGGGTCATATGACACTCAATGGGCATTTCTGAGACACTCAGGTGGAACTATACTTTATTCGGGTTTTCTCTGTTATAAAAAAAAAAAGTCAGAATTCTGCAAAGTGATGACTTAACAGCTTTCTCCTTTCTTTCCATATTTCTGCGTAGGGGTGATCCATGGTGAGCAGGTGGAGCAGCATCCTTCCACTCTTAGAGTCCAGGAGGGAGACAGAGCTGTCATCAACTGCACTTACACAGACAGTGCCTCTTACTACTTCTCTTGGTATAAGCAAGGACCTGGAGAGCATCCTCAGCTCATTATTGACATTCGTTCACCTGTGGAAAGAAAGCAGGAGCAAAGACTGATCGTTTTACAGGATAA